CTCCTCCCAACATTCTCCAGATCAGCCTCCCTCCCAACCTCCTGAACCCTCCTCCCCTCCTCCTCCTCCTCCTCCTCCTCCTCCTCCTCCTCCTCCTCCTCCTCCTCCTCCTAACCTCCGCTCCCCACCCCCAAGCTCGATGCGGTTGTCTGAAGGTTCGGGTCCCGAGGCCGAGGGAGGTTCATACGGGCTTGAGACTGCTGGGCTGCATTGGTGTGAGGATCATCAGGAAGCGGTGCTTGTAGCCCGCGTGGACTCGGGGTTCCCTCTCACTTCAATGTGAGTTTTTCAGTTTTGCTGGTTGCGATGGAATGTGTTCCATGATCTAATACAACCTACTACAGCTTCCAGGCCTCCTTCCCTCCTCCTCGCAACCTCCCCTTCCTCTTCCCCCCACCCCTGTCCTCCCCGCTCATCCTCACCTTCCTCCCCAAGAGGAGGAAGAGCAGGGGAGTTGACAAGGATGGGACTGGGAGCAGCGGAGGGGATCGGGGGGGAAAAGGGCAGGTGGGAGTTGGAGAAGGGGGGGATGGAGGTGAAGAGGCGAGGGAAGGAGGATAGGAGGGGAGAGCAGGGAAGTCGCGGAGGCGAGGGATGGACAGTGTAAGGATAGGAACAAGAGATGTCATGGTCTATTTGTTTCGTTTTGTCTCTCTCTCTCTCTCCGATAGATCCATACATCTACATTTCTCTTTCTCTCTCTCTCTCTCTCTCTCTCTCCGTAAGGGCTTCGCCCCCTGCCGCCGGCCCCCTCTCTGTCATAATTGGATACATCAGAGCTATATTGGAATGTTCGGGTGCCGTCTTGATGACATGCGGGAACGTCATGCTAGAGCGGCTGGCGATGAGCAAAACAGATTGAGATGTTGAAGTTGTTGTTGAACGCCTTGTTGCTTTCTTGGCATTTTCCTCCAGTTGTTCACTGGAAGCGCTCTGGGAACGGCTGGGGATTGCTTCAGGCAATCTCTGGGAAGGTTATTTGTTCTACTCTGGAGAAGGAGTGGCGCCTTTGGGCAGCTTCCGCGAGGTGGATTCGTAGCGTGGGGGGTGCGCGCGCGAATTTGGTGTAATTTGCAAGGGATCGTGGCCTCGGGACGCGAATGTGGCGTCATTTACAAGGGACCGTGGCCTGGGGGGCGCGACAGCGGCGTAATTTAAAATTGATCGTGGCCTCGGGGGTGCGAGTGTGGCGTAATTCACGCGGGATCGTGGCCTGGGAGGGTGAATGTGGAACCCACCGCCGAATTTTCCAGAAACGGGGGGGGGGGGGGCAAAAGAATACCAGCGGAGCACATATCCCAATCCAGAAAATTACAGTTTTTCTGCTTTGGAGAGGGGGAGCGCCTTTTCGGCAGCCTCCTTAAGGCGGATTCGTGGCCTCGGGGCGCGCCCGCTGCGTAATTTACCAGGGATCGTGGCGTCAGGAGCGCGAATTCATTGAATTTACAACGGATCGTGGCCTCGGGGGCGCGAACATTATGTAAATTACGTGGGATCGTTGCTTCGGAGGCGCGAATGTGGCGTAAATAACAAGGGATCGTGGCCTCGAGGGTGCGAATGTGGATTAATTTGTAAGGGATCGTGGCCTCGGAGACGCACATGCGGCGTAACTTACGAGGGATCGTGGCCTCGGAGACGCGAATGTGGTGTAATTTATATGGGATCGTGGCCTCGGAGGCGCGAATACAGTGTAATTTGGAAGGGATGATGGCTTCGGGGGCACGAAACTCCGGTATTTTTACGTGTCCCACGCCGCCCCAGAAATTCTGAGAACCCTCCCAGGGGACGCTAACCAGGGCCCTTTTGGGCTCCCCCGCCCTCGCGCGGACAGTAACAATTTACAGTAGGAAGCAGAAAGCAGTACTGTAACAATGGAAGCTGGAAACTGGAACTGGTGCAGGGAGCAGCAGCCTTAATCCTCGCAGCCTGATGGCCCCGCAGGGGGCCGGCGGATATGTCTATAGATGTCTCTCTCTCTCTCGGCATTTCTATTCCTCCCACCCTTTACCTCTCCATCTTCCTCTCTTTATCCTGCCTCACGACTGGGACCTCGTAGAGAGACGCCAGGAGCACGGCGTGTGTCAGGCAGGTCCCGCGGCATGGCCCACGCTCCCACGCCCCCCCCCCCCCGGCAGGGTCCAATTCGATCCGGTCGCATCCCTACCTCTATCTCTCTCCCTCTGCCTCGTCAGGTTCATCTTTTTTTTGTTTCTCTCTCTCTCTCTCTCTCCTGCCACTGCCCAGAGATTTCGAAAAAAGACGCCAGCGCGGCGCATGTCAAGCAGTGCCGCGGCAGGGCCCACGCCTCCCACGCCCCCCTCCCCCTGCCCTCCAGGGCCCCTCTCGATTCGGTCGATCGGGTCCGATACGGGTTTCGCGCCGCTCAATCCGATTCGAATCCGACTGTCGGGCGATCCGGAGCGGCCCGCTGCCTGCACGGCTCAGTTGTGTATCCTGGCGCGGCCAGTCCGATTCGACTGCTACTCACTTCGCGCCGATGCGGCCCGATCCGATGCACGCTCCGATACCTGGCGATCTGATGCTGCGTGCCCCTGGCCCCTCCTCCTCCTCCTCCTCCTCCTCCTCCTCCTCCTCCTCCTCCTCCTCCTCCTCCTCCTCCTCCCCCTCCGCCTCCTCCCTCCTCCTCCTCCGCCTCCTCCTCCTCCTCCTCCTCTTCCTCCCTCCTCCTCCGCCTCCTCCTCCGATCCTCTCCGCTCGCGCGTTCTCTGCGTGCATGGCATCGCCAGCACTGCGCTGGCTGTGGGAGGTCGGACGCAGAGACGGGGCTGCTCGGAGCCGCTTCCTCGGACGGGGCCAGGACGAGGATGGATGCGGTCTGGAACGCTCTGGGAGGGCCGCGGCGCCAGAGATGTCCTCCAGAGCCGACGGGTCTCAGAGATTTTCGATCTGCCCTCACACGATGTTATCCTCGTCCTGGCCTCGTCTCACTTCCTCGGATCGCAGCCCCGCTCGGGGCCGCCCCGCTCGGGATGAGTGCGAGGGGCGGCGCGAGCGGCGAAGATGCAGCAGGTTCGCGTCGTGTCGGCGCGGCGGCGACGGCCCGCCGCGGGCGTTGGAGGTTGAACGCCCCCAGTGGTCCAAAATCGGCCAACATTCGAGTAGGAGATCGACTACAGAATTGCTTCATCCCAAAATTGGAATTCGCGCCGAACCGATGAAAATTATAAGTCAATTTCGCAGATCTACGAACATGTTACGTACTTCTCTCGCAGATTCGGCGAGGAAATTCATTTCGGGGTAAATCAATTATGTAGTCGATCTCCCACTCGAAATGGAACGAGCTGGCGATCGAGAAGCTTCTGATCGTTCAAGGTTGAACGATTCAGCCAGTGTCAGAAACCAATGTGGGGGTCGTCACGACACGAATCTGCCGTACCCATATCCACGCCCTCGCGGTCTGGACTATTGACCGCGATCCCGTTGGGTGCGCCGTCGCATAGATACATTCGGCGCGGGGCATTCGTGCAGATAACGCCCCGTACCCACGGGGTCGCGGCCAAGGGGCCCAGCCCGCGAGGCCGTGGATTGGGACATGCTTCTTGCCAACGAGGGGATGCGCGTAGGGGCAGTACGCATGCCGTTGCAAGGCTGTTGAAGAAGCTATGCTTGTAGACAGCACCAGGGTTCCTCATCACCCACCTCGAGAAGCACTGGAAGTTTCGTATGCCACGGCACTTCAAAGAATAGGGTTCGAGTGGTTCCGAGAACCGCGAGTGTAGTGAAGCTAGGAGTTGTTGCAAGCCCCGACCAGTTCAGTCACCAGGCAGCCTAGTGAATATACTACTTGCGTCGAGTTGCCGCGTGCTCTGGTTGACCCAGCCTCTGTACTTGATCCTTACCCCTCTGCCATATGGCTCGTGCCAACCTTTGCCCGTGCGCTGCGTTTGCCCTCGCACGCCTACTTTAGAAGTGTCGGTCCCCTTGGGACCTCTGGCTACTTGCACCGCAAACCAGTGATGTTGTATTGATGCTCTCTCTCTCTCTCTCTCTCTCTCTGGGGCCTACCCTGCGTTTCACGGAGCAGGACGAGGAGGGCAAGGGAGGAAGCAGCAGGAGGGGGAAACGAATAACGAAAACACGGGGGCGAGGCGATTGAGGGGTTCGTCACGGAAAGGGAGCTTCCATGGAAGAGGACGAGGTTTGGCCCCGTTTAAGTTCCGCCATGCAGGAACCGAAGTGACGAGGCCCAGTGTCAAGGGCTCGGTTGATCCGAAAATTATCTATTGCAGGGAAGTGCCGCTTGAAGGCGCTTGGGGGATTTCTGTCTATCAGGAGCCGAGGATGGGAGATGATCGATTGTGCCCATCTGCATGGGAGCGATGTGTTGCACAAGGTAGAGAAGGGCATTACACATGTGTGTGTGTGTTTGTGCGTGCGTGCGTGCGTGTGTGTGTGTGTGTGTCTGTGTGTGTGTGGGTGTGCGTGTGCTTATGCGTGCGTGTGCGTTTCGTGCGCGTGCGCGTGCGCGTGCGTGTGCGTGTGCGTGTGCGTGTACGTGTACGTCTGCGTGTGCGTGTGCGTATGCGTGTGCGTGTGCGTGTGAGTGTGCGTGTGCGTGTGGGTGTGGGTGGGTGTGGGTGGGTGTGTGGGTGTGGGTGTGGGTGTGGGTGTGGGTGTGGGTGCGTGCGTGTGTGTATGTGTGTGTGTGTTTCTTTGTGTATGTGTATGTGTTTGAATGTGCGTGTGTTCTCCCTTCCGGGACATCTGGCATCGGCACCATGAGGTCCGGAGACCCTCCGTAGGATCAGTTTTTTCTGCTGAGATGTTTTTCACAGTCCCAGGGATTGTTGAGGGCCCCCAGAGGCCGAAACGTTCAAAACACCCGGTCGTGTTTGTTCACGACGCGGTGATTTGAGGGTCTCCGCTCTGCTGTTCGGTAGGAGGTGCGGGTAATTGTCAGAGGTTGCACGCGCCCATCCAAGCATCCGTCTCGCTGCGTTGCCTCGCCCTCCCGCAAAGCGGCCTGCTCCGCCTCCGAGGCGCCGGAAGTGATCAGCCTAAGCCGCGAAGAATCGCAAATGATTCCCTTTAGGTGTTCGTACCTCTTCTCTCCTACTATCTATCGGCGGCGGGCCGAGGGGGGACGTGAGAGGCGGCAGGCCTTCTCAGGAGGCGGCGGGGCTTCTCAGAAGTCCTTCTGAGAAGCCCTGTGCGGCTTCGGAGCAAGCTTGAAAAGTTTCTCCGAAGACCAGAGGCCTTCTGACCCTTCTGAGAGGGCCCGCCCTCTCTGCATTCTCCCCTGGGCGTGCCGCCGAACATTTTTCCGAAGCATATTGGGCTTGTCTTGTTCCTTCCAGCAGACCCTTCTCCAGGCTAGCTTCGAAAGTTTACGCAACATCGGCCAAAGCGTTGGCGGCGAATATATTCGTCAAATTTCGAACACCTCAATGGTACGTCCCCGATCTTTCCAATGATCGAACGTGTGTTTCTACAAAGGTCGCCAAAGCATAAGTCGTCTTTTGATGTCAGTTCTTGTCTCCGCCACCTAAAGAAAGCGCGCCTCTTCGCGCTGATCCTTTTCCCAGAGGGATGGCAGTACAGAAAAATTCCTTTGAATGCACGGCAATGTCACTTGCCGAGCTCGGCGCACTTGCTTGATGGGACTCTTCGGAGTTATGAACGCAGCATTACGATTCGGAGCGGCGAAAAGCATGCGGCAAGGGCATAGGGGAGCGATGGAGAGAAGGGGGCAGGGCAGGGATTGAAGGGAGCAGGGGATCGTGGGAAGCGGGGAGAGCCAGGAGGGAGGGGGGAGGCCCTCCTTCCCCGGGAGGAGGGAGATAGGAAGGAGAGAGGAGGGAGTGAGGGAGGAGGGAGGGAGGAGGTACGAGAGAGAGAGAGAGGAGGGAGTGAGGGAGGAAGTGGAAGGGAAGGCGGGCGTGATCCGTCGCGCCTGCACCAGAGAAGGCAGCCCTGCGAGGAGCCCAGAAGCGGGCGTGCCGACGAGGGCTGGCGGGCAGGGAGCGCGTGGGCGCTGGGTCGTGGAGCACGCGTGGTGTTTTCTGACCGTGATTCTCGCCCTGCGACTGCCTCGGCGTGATTCTCGCCGTTCCCGCTCGCACGCGATATCGAAGAAGAGACACGCCATAAACATAAAAATTGTTGGCGCTCCGCGCGGAGCGCCGAGAGTTGATGTTTGTGCCGTTTTGCTTCTTCTGCGATCGTTGTCCGCCTTTTCTTCGCGACTTGCACCTTCGCGTGCGAGGCTCACTGTCTGCAGCGAGGCAAGATCATACGGGCGAGCAGCTTGCTAAGGGTACCCTTACATCCTCGGCTCTCGGCCAGCCTCCAGCCATGGGCCATGGCCTTCCAACTGCGGCTTCAACGTTGGGCGTCCAAGGGCCTTGCATCCCTACCGCGCGTCCTTCTGATCTGGTCGCGCTGAAGGAGCATTCCTCCCATCCCGCCACCGTGTCTGGGTCGTGAACGAGGCGCCTTTTGGACGCTTCTGGGGAATCCTACGCATTGGGGAACCTCTTGGTGGCATCCTGGAGGCCTCTCGGATGCATGGTGGGGGTCTCGTGGAGGTCTATCGGGGCCTCTTGGGGGGTGGCTAGTAGGGGCCTCTGGGGGCCTCTTGAGGTCCCGCTGGCCATAACGTTAGTTCGTGTACCTCCGTGTTGGCGGGGCCTCTCGGGAGCATATTGGGCCCTCTTCTGAGGGCCTCTTGGTCTCTCTCGGGGACCTTCGGTCATCTTGGGCATTATCAAGACCGACAAAGGAAAGCATGCGAACAGCATGCACAACCTAAAGCTTACCAATGGCTTGAGCATCCGGGGCTGCCCCCCCCTCGGCCTGCAAGAAGGCCCAAGAGGCAGCCAAGGATTCCAAACCGCGCTCCCGAGGCCTCCGGAAAAGTCCAGGAGCACCTGTGCCCCGTTGAGATTACGTCGGGCGTGTCCCTCTACAGGAGGAATATTCAGAAATAGTCCAAAAATAGTATGGGGACGATTTTTTGATTTTATTTTTCGTCCAAAATCCCCCTGTAGGGGACATGCCCGATCTAACGTTACTAGCATTCATAATGATTCGAAACAAGGGGCTCACATCGATCTGGAAACACCTGCACTCAGCGCCTACGGCGCGGTGGCGAAAGCTGGGAAGCGATTCCTGACACCCTGGATGCAGTCGTAACGGTGCGCAGACAAAATAGTGGACGAAGTCGAGAGGGCCTTTGGGGCGACCCGTTGTCAGATTTTCTGGTGCCCAGCGCAGAGCAAGCAGTCCTAGACGTCGCATGCGAGTTTGGCCGCGAGGGCGTGGACGCCCTAACCGATGTGGCGTAGGTGACCTGCGCTGGGAGCGAGGCCGACCTCAGTCCAGGTGCCGAACGCATCAATTGCTGAAGGTCCAGGTCTCTGAGGAAGTTCGCGGAATTGTCGATGACCTTCGCGGTCCGCACCTTTTAAGATCAAAGCAAGTTGCCGTTCCCCTGTGGTGTCTGAAACCGTCGCTTGCAGACTACGCGGCATTTGGGAGGAGTCAGCGCACAATCATCTTCCAGGCTCATGGTTCCGTGTATGTAGATGTGTTTGTATACATACATGCATGTAAGTTTGTGGGAGGGGGTGCGTGTGTGGGTCCACCAAATACTTGTGCACCTGCACGTGTGTAGAACGGTTCGCTGCACAGGATAACGCGGCGAGGAAGCGGAGGGGGGGAATGGACCAAGGTTGCAGATGGTGGCGGCCGTCGCTTTTAGCCGTTTGGCTTGCGCCAGCCCTGGCATGGGCGCAGCGGGGCCACCGGCAGCTCCATGGCGCCGTCATGGCGGAAAGTGGCTAAGGCTTGTGGTGTGGGGGTGGGTTCGCGCTGCTCGCCAAGGGAAGGCCGAACGCATGCTCTGAAGGACGTGTCCCACGAAGGGTAGGATGGGTACGCAGCGATGCTTGCGATCGATGGGCGAAGCGAAATCGAGATCAGTCGAATAGGGTGGGAGAACAGAAACAGAGACGGGGACGCAAAGAGGGGTGGACAGAAACTGGCAGAGACTGGCTCTGACGGACGAGAACAAACAAAGGCAAACGGAGGTTGACGGACCGATGGGGACACGACAAGTCAACCATCGAGAGACAGAGGCAGACAGAGATCGCCAGACGAAAAACATCTCTAGATTCCTCGTGTATCCTCACCAGCCCATCCAGAAACGATGTCCAGGCGAGTTGAGGTGATCAGGGAAGTGCAGGAGCAAAGAGGGAGACGGCCGAACCGTGCGAAGGAAGGAGAAGGAGAAGGAGGAGGCTGGATGGATGGATGAGGGAGTGGGGAGAAGGAGGATGAATAGGAGGAGGAGGAGGAGGAGGAGGAGGAGGAAGAGGAGGAGGAGGAGGAAGAGGAGGAGGAGGAGGAGGAAAAAGAGAAGGAGTAGGAGGAGGAAGGAGGAGCAGGAGGAGGGGGGTAAGCCAAAGGGCGAGAGGTCTCTTGGATGCCTCTCGGAGCCTCTTGGTATATATCTTGTACGCTTCTTGGAGGCCTCTTGGGACGTCTTGGGGGTCTCTTGGCGATCCTGGGGGGCTCTTGGGCGTCTTGAGTGCCTCGGAAGGGCCTCTTAGGGGCCGCTTTGGGTCCTCTTGGGGGCCTCGTGGGGGCCTCTTGGGGCCATCTTGGGGTCACCTTGAGGCCTCTTGGGGCCTCCTGGGCGCTTCTTGGGGCCATCTTGGAGGACATCGATCAAAGAAGAGGGGAGCTCCTTTTAGTGTTTCCCCCCCAGGAAGCCAACATGGGGCCAAAACCTTAGTAAAACCAATGATTGGGGCTTCCTCGCCGAGGCTGTTTTGGACGCCCTGACCGCTCGCGGAACACCCCGTCCACGGGAAGGGGTAGGGGGGAGGGGTAAACCCCTCCCTGAAGGGGAAGAGGGGGGTGGAAGAGGAAACTCTCTAAACCACGCCCAGAGGGCTGGTGGGATTAGGTATACGTGTATCCGTTATCGGGGGGGAGATCGAAGTGAATCGGAGTCGCCCAACGCAGAAATCAAGATTGGTTACGGTTCGTGTCGTGCGTGACGCACGTGCGGGCGAGGCGAGGCGTACCGAACAATGCGCTTTGCGAGGCCATAGCACCAAACAGCACGCCCTGCGGGACAATGTTATAGAGCATGCGACCTGCGGAACCAAACATACAAACAGTGGTTTCTTCGATGGTTGCCCCGATATCTCGATTTATGAAAGAGCGTGTTCTACCGCTGCTGGCGGAAAACCGGGGGGGGTCACTACTGGTTCGAACCCCTCCCCCCCCCCCATCCGGAAAACCGGGGGGGGTCACTACCAGTTCGAACCCCTCCCCCCCCCCCCAGTTCATCATGAAAAGGGGGGGGGGTCACTACCGGTTCGAACACCCCTCCCCCCCCTCTCGAACTCGAAAGCCGGGGGGGGTCACTACCGGTTCGACCCCCCCCCCCCCTCGAAAACCGCCGAGGGGGGGTGCGGACAGTGGTGGGGACGGTGGTGGTGGGGACAGTGGTGAGGGAACAGCGGGACAGTGGTGGGGACAGTGGGACAGTGGTGGGGACGGTAGTGGTGGGGACAATGGTGAGGACAATGGTGGGAACAGTGGGGACAGTGGGACAGTGGTGGGGACGGTGGTGGTGGGGACAGTGGTGTGGGGACAGTGGGAATGTGGTGGAAACAGTAGGACAGTGGAGGGTACAGTGGTGATGGGGACAGTGGTGAAGGCGGTGGCGAGGACGGCGGTGGGAAAATGGGACAGAGGTACAGTGGGGACAGTGGTGGGGACAGTGGGGACAGTGGTGGGAACAGTGGGACAGCTCAGTGGGACAGCAGAGGAGTCGGTGGGACAGTGGGGACAGTGGGGATAGTCGGGATAGTGCGACAGTGGTGGTGGCACTGGTGGGGACAGTAGGGGCGGTGGTGGAACCAGTGGGGACAGTGGTGGTGAGGACAGTGGTGTTGGGAACAACAGTGGGGGATGTGGTGAGGACGGTGGTGGGGACCGGGAGTCGTTTGCTGGCGGTGAGAGGGGGGGGTGGGGAGGGCATCGAACCGGTAGTGACCCCCCCCGGTTTTCCGGTAGGACCCCCCCCGGTTTTCTGCCAGCAGCGGTAGAACCTCCGGTTTTCGAGGGGGGGGGGGTTCGAACCGGTAGTGACCCCCCCCGGTTTTCCACAGGGGGGGGAGGGGGGGGAGGGGTTAGGGGAGGGGGGGGGGTTTGGACGGGAGAAGGGGGGGGGGTCCAGCAGGGGGGGGGGTTTTCGGATCGGAGGGGGGGGGGACCCCCGGGTTCCGGAGGAAAAGGGCGGCAATTTTCCACAGTAAAGCGGCGGTGGATCACGCTCTCTCCGATATATTGATAGTAAGACCGATAGTGATTGCTCGATAGAGCCGGTTGACACGATGTGTGTCACGATGGTCGCCCCGATGGTTTAACGGTAGTTAGTGGGATCGACAGAAAGATTGTTAGATTGATCGTTGGATATCTAAATATACATTTATAGAATGAGACCGACGTGCAGATACATGGATGTATAGAACGGTGTGGACCGACCATTCTATAGACCAACAGGCATACATACATATTTGTGTATATATATATACACATCAGTATTCTGGCACAACGGTCAGTGGGAAATATCAGGGGTCACGCGGCATTGCCGATGTTGTCTCGTAGTCTTCTGCTCTAAGATGTTTCGGCCCAGCGCGCAGGGCGTTCGGTCTTGCGCGGCAGGCTGGCCTCTGCTTTTCGAGTCTGGCATCATGGAGGACTTTGGCGCAGCAGAGGTGCTTGCGGAGACGCAAGCGGCACGGGCGGAGATTGCATCGGGGCTCGCTACTACGACGGGGATGGTGATGACCAGGGTTATGCAGTGTACTGGGTCCTTGCGATGTGCCCGCTGACCGCTGCTGGCCAGTTCGCACGCACGGAGCGCATGTTTTGCGTGGATCCGTGTCCCTGGTGGCACGAGGAGAATATTGGGACCCCAGGAGCTGTGCAACAAAAGCGCCTGCTCCCCTGCCTTGACGGTGATTTTTTTTTGTGTTGCGGTTGTTGGCGAGGGTGTAGAGATCATTCACATCGACGATTCCACGATCGTCGAACACATAAGAGAATCAGAGACGCGTGTCTGGCCCACCGCCTGCTGAGCCCTGCGGCGACGTGGCCTGAGGGACTTGGTCATGAGCCTGCCCCCGTGGCGGACGAGTTCGGCCTCTCCCGCGCCCAGGCACGAGGCCGACGAGTTCGTGATGATGGCGCCTGTGCTTGTGCTCCAGTCCGCGGGTGAGCTCGGGTCCGACACAAGCGAACGCCCAGGCAAGTGTTTCCCCATGGCCTGGGCGACCCGCACATGCCCTTAAGCCCAGAACCAGGGGGACAGCAGCGGGGGCTACTCCCCTGGAGGCTGCTGCCGCTGCTGTGGCTGAGGGCGGGCGGGACCCCGACGAGGAGATGAGAGAACAGCTCCAAGCCAGACGGGCACCCTGAAAAACAACCTGGTCTCCCAGACCGATGCTGGACCTGCCGCTGGTGGAGGTGATCGTGGTTCAGAAGCAGAATGGTCTGCCTGAAATCCTGGCAGAGGGGACCGCGAAGGTTCAGAAGCTGGGGGCGCCTGGCCCAATGGCACAACCGTGATTCGTGACGGTGCTGGTGCCGCCGTCGCAGAGGGCCCTTTCGATGAGGATCGGCTAGGTGGCGCCGCTGTTGGGTTCCTGCGGACGATGCTGAGTGCAATTTCGCAGGGCGAGGCTCCCGACGACTTCGGCGTCGCCGGGAGCCTGGACTTGACCCCTGGCCTGTCCCCAGGCAGGTCATCGGTTTTTATCGAGGGCGTTCTTACGACGGTCTGCTTTTTATTCACATGGCAAGTTGTGGAGTATTCACTTTTCGCCCCTGAGATAGTTTTTGACGTCGATGGGGCCTTCACGAGCCTTAGGCGGAGCTGCCCAGAGAAAAAAGGAACGACACAACGAGAACAACAACATACACGCATTGGCGCACAAGCACCACCAGGTGAAGCACTAGTATATAAGGGAAGGCAAGCGATAAGCGAGCAGAGCACCACCAGGTGAAGTACTTAATCTTCGACGTGCCTTCCGAGGCTGCCCGCAATGACCTCCCACATGCCTTCTCCTGAGCTGCCTGCAAGCGCGCACGAGTGCCGCTCCTTGGCTGCCCGCAAACACCTCCCAAGTGCCTTAACCCCTGCATGCCTTCCCCGGGCGCCCGCAAGCACCTCCCAAATGAATTGGCTCGGCTGCCCGTAAACATCTTTTTAGCGCATTTCCTGTGCTGCCCGCAGGCACCTCCCAAGTACCGGTTCTGGGCGGTCACGAGTAAATATTTGTTGAACGTCTTCCACGGCCAGCGCCTTATGCTTTCCATAGGGGATGGTATGGTCAGGGAGAGGGGTACTTTGTCAGAGGTGCTCGACAACCTGCTGCAGGGCAGGTGCCTTGATGCCATGGACATGCGGACTCTGGGGTTCAAGGCCTGCCAACTGCCTTGCAAGGATCAGCACAGGAGGAGCGCCCGACGGCTTGCACTCACTCCTCCCGATGCCGACATGGCCGCCATAAACATCGAGGAGGAGGAGCTACTCATGAATATTGTGCACGGAGATCTTGAGGTGGCTGAACTCGCGAGCGAGATCAAGTCCACGGGCTAGGCCCCCGCGGCGACCACGACGACCCCTTGACCGACGACGGCCCGCGACGACCCCCCGACGTCCACCGACGCCACTCGCCCACTCCGCCCCCCGCCCGCCCCATGCGTGTGCGCTTGTGTGCTGCTGCCCTGCTACCTTTGCCGCCTTCCCTCTCCTCGTGCACGGTGGCGGCTGCTCGCTGTGTTTGTCTTCATCCTGCTCCTCCTCCTCCTCCTCCTCCTCCTCCTCCTCCTCCTCCTCCTCCTCCTCCTCCCCCTCCTCCTCCGCCACCCGTGCAGCGAATGCTCGCGTGGGGCGCCCGCTGGTACGCCAGCGTGCAGCTCGGGTAGCTTAGTGATCGTATCCGCACTTCTGCCGAGTGCGAGGAGGGCTATGCTGGCCAGCTCCCGCTCGGAAGGTGTTCGACTGGTCTTCGCAGGAGCCCTGTGGGGCGCCCCCAGAGCCTGTCGCAGAAGCGTCGAAACATTTTTGGCTTAATGTTGCTGAATTTCGGTCGGGTTTATCCAGTAAGCGGTGTGTGTGTGTGTGTGTGGAAAGGCCGCGGCGGCCGCCCAGGGGAGTTTTTTCCTTCGGCGGCGGGCCTCCCCCCTTTTGTACCGTCCCCTCTGCCTAGTGTATTCTGGGCCGTTCCCTCCTGGGTCGTGCGTCGGGTTTCGTGGACCCTCGCGGATCGATCTGGCCAGTTGAGTCCCTTTCTGGCTGTCCCGTGGGGGCGTGCGGCTTGTACGTATGAAAGGGCGGCTCCGCAGCGTAAATGCCTCCGCACAGCTGTCTGGTACGGCTTCGAGATCTTAATCAATGGCGGATGCGCGGCCATAACGACATGACATATGTATATATATATATATATATATATATATATATATACACATATGTATACGTATACATATACAAATATATACATATGTATCTGAATACACATACCGGGCTACAAGGGGGGGGGGGGGGGGGGGGGCCGCAAGCTGCCTCACGTTGCCACTGCTGCCCCAGGCTTTAGGGGGCCGTCGCCATGGGTGCCCCAGGCCTTCGGGAGTCGTCCCAGAAAAGCCCAGAGCCGCCCCCCCCGCTCACCACAATAGCGACCCAAGATGCCCAAGACAGCCTCCAGACAGCCCAGGATGCCTCCAAGACGCCCCAAGAAGCAGCCGAAAACCTGCCCAACAGGCTCCAAGGGCCGAACTTCGTGCATTTTGACGAAGACCACTCATGGATTTACACGAGTGCGCGTGTCCAGCTCCGGTGCAATCCGAAACGGCCCCAGACGCCCTTGAGTTCGCTCCCAACACAGCCCAACAACAGCCTCAGAGGGCCCCTTTTGGCCGATTCCAGGTGTGAGATTCGGATAACAAGTACGGAGCATGCTAACGACATGTAGGCGTCAGTACGAAAACATGTTTGATATTTGTTTTCGGCACTGCATGTTGGAGACTGCGCGGGGTGGGGACATTGATGCCATCTTGGGGAAACCAGACGCCAGCTTCATGGCCAGAAGCCGGAAGCCGTCTTGGAGCCGTCTCGAGATTCCATGGACGCCGTGCAGGTGACAGTTGGGAACATCATCGCGCCAATGTAATGTCATGTTTCGAGTTTCTGAAAGAGGGCACTGTCTGAATAGAGTGGTCTCTTGGAGGGGATCTTGTGGGGCCTCGAGGTGTTATATTGGGGCTACGCCCGAGCCTTGTTAGGCAATAGTGTGCGATCTGAACGCCTTTTGGAGACACCGTGTGGTATCGTGGATGATGTTAGTTCAGGCGCCTGAAGGGACATCTTTAGGGCATGCTGCATGGTCTCGGAGCTGGACGACCTGCTGGGGCAACCCTGTTAGGCAAGATTGACGCATACGGTCTGACATGCATCCGGCAACAATTATTACTCACATCATTCCTTACTTAGTGGAAGTTGCGCAAACACAGAGATCACATGTTTGAACACGTACCTCAACCGTTTCTGTACCGCTTGAACGGTAATTATATCAGGTGTTCCATCCATCTAAGTTGTTTGGCATGTGCTCGAATCGATATTGCTGTTGGTATTTGACGTGTCTCAGACAGGCGCAGTTTTGCGCTTAAGTGTGATCGAAAGTCGCGTGCGTGCTCTTATGAATCCACTGTCGGGTCTCCGTGTGGGGGTCCCTACGTGGTAAGGCATGAAAGCGATGATGGTTGTTGTTGCGTGATAACAAGGAGAAGCGGATCAGATGGGGCAAATTGATTGTTAGAGCACCTCATATTACATGGTTGGTTGGTTCGTGGTGCACAGTGGACATTGTATAGTCTTAGTTGGGAAGGCCGTCGCAGCCGATTCATTGACATCAAGTTTCCGCATCGATTGTAGAATCGAAGGGGGATGGACGGATCGGGAAGGCCGCCTGGATAGCTGTGCCGCCGCTGGTTTTTATCAAAGATAGGTGGGTATGGATATACTGCGTGGAGGGCCGTAGCATGAGCCCGACCTTGAACCCTCAGGATTATGGGTGGGTGTTTCAGGACGTGGTCGAATCCACGTTCCTTGTTCGTTGGCTGGAGTCGTGAAAGTAGCAAGCGTGTTAGCAAAGCCAGGATGCCAGGAGGAGACGAAGTGATGCGAGGCAGAAGCTACGATGGTCTTGGTAGCGTCAAGGGCAGGAGGCTCCTTCCTCCCCTTCTGTCCCTTCCCCTCTCTCACTCTTTCTCTCTCTCTCTCTCATATCTCTTTACCTACATCGCTCTCGCTCTCTCTCTCTCTCTGTCTCCCTCTCTCTCCCTATGATTTCCCTCGCTCTCTCTTGCTCTCCCTCGTTTTTCCCTCGCCCTCACCCGTCTCCCCCTTCCTGTCTCTTTCCCATCCCTGGAGTGACGCGCCTCGCCAGGGTCTCGCTCCAACCAGGCCTCGGCTCTCTTCACTTGGCTCGCTTCGCCATGGACTCTATTCGCCCGAGCTCGCTTCGCCCAGAGATCGCTTCGCCTAGGGTCACCTCGCCTGAGGCTCGCTTCGCCCGGCCAGGTTCGCCCGCCTTGTTCGGCCTGGGTCGCTCGCCCGACCTGCCCGTTGCAGTCCGCCCGATCCACCCGTTAGGATCCGCCGGGCCGCCCACCGCTGAGGATCCCACCCGCCCGACCCAGCGAAGCAGGAGCCAGCGATGCAGGGCGGGCGAGGCGTCGGCGAAGCCGAACGGGAGAGGCGAGCCCCAGTGAGGATAATTTCGGGCGAGGCGCGTCCGTGTTGTATCCGTCCCCCGCTCCTCCTCCTCCTCCTCCTCCTCCTCCTCCTCCTCCTCCTCCTCCTCCTCTTCCTCCTCGAGGTGGCTGAGCAGCGCGTTACCCTTTTTGGGGCCACCCGCCCACCTCAGCCCCCAGCCCCGAGGGGGCGACAGCGGGACGGGCGCGCGGCCGCGATCGCGCTCACTTGCATGGCACCGCCGTGCGCGCAGGCAACGGGCAGCGGCCCAAGACAGCCTGCGGCGCTGGCGCCAGGTCGTTCTGCTACGTCTACACCACGGGAGTTCGGCCCCAGCCATGCCCAAGGATGGTGCGGGACGCAGCAGCCAGCAGGACCTGTACACGAAATATGGCCATTGCGGTGCATGTGAATCGAATTCTCTCTTGCTCCAGCGCGATCAACGTTGCAGGTGCGGCAAGCAGCTGCGACTATATCTGGGCAAGGACAGCAACAGCAAAGGCAAGGGCAAGGGCAAGGGCAAACACAAGGACCAGCCCATGCTCGCGCTGAGACTCACGGGCAAAGCGGACAGCACGGACATCCTCGGGCAGGCCATCATGGTCACCACCGACCCGGTCCTCCAGGCCGCATTGCAGGCGGAGTTGCAGCGGCGGCAAGCGACAGTTGTGCGGCGGGCGCAGGAGCAGCTTGACAAGGCACAGGAGCGGGAGGGGCCTGCTGTCAAACAGCTGGCCGGGGTTGAGCTCGCCAGGCGTGTCGTTGTGCGAGCTCTCGCGGCGGAGGCCAGTCTCGCTGCTCCAGCCCAGGCAGAGCCAGTCAAGCACGGCGAGCCCACCAAAATCTTCGATCCCATGTGGGATACCGAGTTCTTCGAGCAGTCGCATAAGAAAGAGTGCGAGCGTGAGCCACATGAGAAGGAGGAGCTCCTGAAGTTAGAACAGGATTTGCTGAAGGCCCAGTCGCTTATCGGCGAGCGAGGCGAGCAGGTCGAGGCGTGGGAGGCCAAGATGGAGGACTTGCAGCGCTCGGTCCGCGAGCGCGTGGCCAAGAAACGCAGGGGCCATGTCGGTTTGGCCATCCCCAGCACCCCGCCAGCTGCTGCACCAGCTGCGCCTGCTACGACCACTGGTTGGTGGCGGGAACAGCAGTGGCAGCGGGGGCCAGCCTACGCTGCCGCAGGAGGCGGAGGACCCCCGGGTCGCCCAGGCCAAACTCGACGCGGAGACCCAGCGCACTCGCGAGGCCAGGGCGGCGGCAGCGGCGGCCGAGGCGGCGTCGGCGAGGCAGGCGGCGGAGGCGGCGGCGAAAGCCCAAGGCAACGGAGCTGGTAGCCCCCCCGAGCCTTCTGGGGCCACCGCGTGACGGGCGCGCTTCGGCAGCCCCGTCAGCTGCTGGAGGAGCCCAGGGGGCCGCGAGCTCCCCCTCCTCGCCAATGTCCACATCCTGTGGCTCAGCGGCGTCTACTCTCATCACTTCTACTTCAGCGTCTGCTATCCCCTCCTTAGCTGGGACTGGCCAGGGCCATCTGGATGATGGGGCGCAGCAGCTTCAGTCTGGAGGAGCATCAGCAGGACGCAGCACTCCATGCACGTCTACTTCCACAGCTACCGCTGCAAGTTTTGGGCTAACAGGCGCCGGCGATGGCCCACGCGGCGCAGAAGCTGCGCTGTTCCAACCTTCTGGGCCCATTGCAGATTCGGTGCCGGATGATGGTGGCAGTTCGTGCGATATTGTTCAGATTGGCCCAGTGACATCACAGTGCTCGACGACAAGTCATGGAGCTATTTTCCAAGTTAGCCAGCATTCGCGTCTTTCAGTTCGTCGCCCTCTGCGAGGCTCATGCTGCATCATCTCATACCTCGAAGCGGTGCAAGAGAGCTCGCCAATCTCCCATCAAGTGTTTCGCCAAATGGGCCTGGCCGACTGGTCGACGGCGTCTTGCGGCAGCGGGGCAGGCGGACGCCAGCGAAGGGGGCGATGTTCCTGGCCGAGGGCCGCAGGGAAGCTCATCCTTTTATGAGCGGCAACCTCGGGGCACTCTGCGAATCCGGCCAGTCTGTGCTGGGCGGGTTTCTACCTGGTGCGATTCATCTGCAGGATTTTAGCGCTGCCATTTTCATTTTCTACACTAGATGTGGTCCTGGAATCGGTGGTCAGAATCTCGCCCGATTCGCCCGCCTCGGATCCTTGCTCCAAGCTCTTCAGTTGCCCTGGATCGCCCCGGGCGATCTCAACCCCCCCCCCGTCGAGCTCCAGCGCGTTTGCTTCGTCTCGCGGCTCGGGGCGCCAGCGCTGCAAGGCCCCGTTCAGTTCATTTGCGCGGGGCCCAAGGGGGCCCCCGCATCGATTTTGTCGTCGCGTCTGCGTCTGCTCCCCCGTGCATTGTTGGCTCGCGCGCCATCGAGGATGCGCCGCGGCGCCCTCGCTGCGCACCCTCCTTCCAGCTGCGGGGCGCAAGTGCACGGCTCATCATTGGATCACTGCATCTTCCCGGGCGTCGTTGCCAGGCCCCGGGCGCCGGCCACCCCGGAACCCGGGGCGTCGAGGGCTCGGAAGGCACAAGCAGCCAAGCAAAGGTCGGCTACTGAAAAACAGATCGAGCGCGCCCATGTTCCCCTTGGCGATTTAGGTGGCGAGTCTCAGGCCAGCTCTGCCACTGGGATTCCCGACCCTGTCTCTGACGCCTCCGAGCCTCGGGAAGGCTGTCACTTCGGAGTCTTGGACGACGAAGTCGATCCGTGGCCTGATGAGCCCAGCTTTGTGGCCCCCCCCCTCATCCCCCGCCTCTCCCCACCCCCACTCAGCTGGCCAGATGGCAACGTTGCGACCCCCCACCCCCCGCGAGAGCCAGCCCCCTTGCAGCGGGGGCCGATTGATCCCGCCCCCGGCGGTGGGCGCCCCACCGCCGCTCCGCCCTCCGCCGATGATGACCCCGCCTCCGCCTTCGACCCCGGCCGCTGGCTCTTGGCCCGAGCCCGCCCGGGCTTCCAGATTCACTCCCTTGACCAGGTTTGGGAAACCATCCAACGCTGTTCTTGCCTTTCCACGTGGGCGGCCAGTTCGCGGCGCCAATTAGCGGCGCCGGTGCTACGTGGATTGAGGCAGTAGAGACAGTTCATGGCGAGCAAGACAGTTCACCAACAACGGGCACTGGTCGCCCACCGTGCGACGGGACCCACCATGACAGCGCGTCGAGCGCAGCAGAGCGCTCACTATCGCGACATGCCCTTCCAGGATGCCATTGCCAACTGGCGGGGGCGCATCGTGGTCGCCCCTGTCCCTGGCAAGCTCGCCAGGCGCCGTTCTCGCGACAGCGGGGCGGCCCAAGTTTCCCCCATAGCTGCCGCAGGTGCGAAGCTAGCTGGGCGCTACCCAGACGGCTTTCAGAAGACGGCATTGTCGCGCGGCGGTGCTTTGCCATGGGAACAGCGGCTTGAGGTGTCACGGAGCCCTGGAGGAGTTGAACAACATATTCAGGCAGAAGTTTTTACGCCAGGGGCCACGCGCATCGCTGGCCGTGCCAGATCGCGCGCCACGGCTTCATCCTTATCCGAATTAAATCATTGGACTGCTCAGAACGAATTCTCAGGGGCCTTGTTCAAGGCTCCCAAGGACCGACTAACCAGCTCGGCCCGACGCGGTCGAGCTCGCAGGCGTGGCATTTGTTTTGTTGTTTTCTCCATCCCCGTGATTTTGTCGGGCAGAGGGTTTCCAAGTGGCACGGCCCATGGACTCCATGGATATTCCGCTGGATAAAAAAGTTCAGGAGCTCTTCGGCATCGCCCGCGCCAGGGCTGGGGCTGAACCACTCGACCTTCTCGCCCTAGACGACGTGGGACGCGCTCTTCGGGCGATGAAAACTCGCGCTTGAACGGGGATGGACAGGCTTTCGCCCGCGGATCTGGAGCGCCTACCAGACGGAGCCGGGATTGAATTAGCGAACGTGTTTAACATGTTCGAAGAGTGTCAGACATGGCCGCGGCAGCTGGGGGTCGTCGACAATTTCCCCCTCGGGAAGTCGACCGGCCAGCTTCGCGTCACCGGTCTCATCTGCGTGGCGTGTCGGGCGCGGCCTCTTGCAAGAGAGCCGATCGTCGAGCAGCGGTCCCATGGCGGGCAGCCATGGGGCGCCGCCGTCAGGGGCAACTCAGCCTTGTCCGAGGCATGCATGAAGGCACTCGACGAGGAGTTGCACGCGCGTCTCAGAGTGGCCAAAGGCCATTTGTTAATGGATATCCAGAGTTTCTACAATATGATGGAACGGGAGACCCTCGTCAAGGGGGCGTTTCGCTACGGCTTTCCAGCACCGCTGTTGGGGCTCGAGCTCCAGATTCGCGCGTGCGCGAGGATGCTGGATCAGGGCGACGCCGTCCCCCTTCCCTGTCAAGCCGCGCGGGGGATCATCCAGCGCCTCCGCAGTGGCGCGCGTCTCGCTCGATGTGATACCACTACGGCATTAGAACGGTTGATGGTGAGGCACCTTTGGTTGTCCGAGCGTTTGCGGGTGGACGATCCATCTCGATCTGTTGTCGGATCCAGTTCGCATGTCAAGCAGGCGCTCATCCAGGGCGCCACGTCCACGGCAGACCGGACCGAGGAGCATCTGGAGCTGGCCAGCAAGAGCACGGCCACGCGTCCATATGTCTGACGCGAGAGCCATTGTCAAGGCCCTCAAGAGGAGAGGCAGCACTATCCAATGTGCTGACCAGGTCGCCCACTTGGGATTCCACTTGAGCGGTCGCAGGCTCGGCGGGGCAACCGGAATCACGCGCGTGGGCGCCGCGAAGAAGCAACGCCTCATTCTAGAGAAGTTTGCCCACTCCACTCGTCGCTTTCGGACCCCCAAGCAAGTTGAGCTAGTCGGGCCGGAGGCGAGCGCTAGACATGGGCATCAGGTCCATGGGCTTCCTGCCCCGCCCCTATTGCAGCTGCGTCGACGGCTACGTGGAGCATCGGGGCGCGAGCGAGGCAGGTGCCTCGCTGCCCCTTGATATTCGAGCACCTGCGGCCGATCCTGGGCGCGCTTCGCCGCGTCGACGCATCCAGCAGCGGTTCCGCAGCTGGCTCGGCTTCCCACGCGTTCGAGACAGCATGGGGCGGGCGTGGAAAGATGTGGCTCGCCAGTGCCGCGACCTGGCCCCTCAGCGTCGCGCGAGGCACGTTCGTGGGCCACTTTCCGCATTGGCGCACGACGCGACAGCAGTTGGCTGGGAACTGGTCTCTCCGACGACGCGGCGCCCTCCAGCTGGAGCCGACGGCGCGCGAGACGGCCGCCGGTGACGGTGATCAGTTTCAGTTTTCTGATCAGGCCGCCGAGCTGATCGATCAGTTTACCGATGCGCCCCGTCTAAGACAGCGGCGCGAGGCCGCCGGCGAGTTCCGCGGCGGCGGCATGGAGAGCGGAGTGGTAATTTTCTTTCTTCGCGCATTTTTCCAGCCTGAGCACGTACCTGCTCAGGGCCGCCAACTGGCAGAGCTCGCGCTCGCCGCGGCGGCGGGCGGAGCGCGGCCAGCGGCGCGCAAGCACGAGGCAGGGCGCGACATCCATGGCGCATGTCGGCGGTGCGGAGGGGGCCCCGCGACCCCCGAGCACCGCCGTTGGCTTTGCGAGTGCAAGCTAGAATTATCCCGCCCGCAGCACCCCTGATCACCTCGCCCCACGTGCGCTCGCCGAGGCAGACAGCATTGAATGTCTGTGTCTTCGGGGGCTCATGCATGACGATTTGCTGCGCGTTGACCCCCCCCCATCAAGATGCACGTCGGGTTCGCAGTCGCCCGCGCGACGAGCCCTGCGCGCAGCACTTCGGTCCAGGATTTCACGATTCTCTAATAGTGCGGGGCGACGCGTCGGAGGGAGCTGCCAGTCGCCACCCCCGCTTGCGTCGTGCCGGCGTGGCCTTCGCCACAGCGCCTTCCGCCAGCCCCCCCCGCGCGCAAGTGCGCAAGTTTTTGCGCGGCACTCTGCCTCGACGTCTCCTGACCGTTCCGCGGGGGCTGAGTTGTTTTTTTGTCATTGCGGTTGAGCAATATCGTGGGCCCTCAGCCTATGTGACCGTTCAGGAAGAGGTCTCCAGGGGCTTCAGGTCTAGAGTTTTCGAGGCCCCTCAAGGGCCCAATGCGGATCTCTGGAGGAGGTTGAACGAAACCACCCAGGCGACGGGCCGTCGCCGTGACGACATATGCGTTCTGAAAGTTATGTTTCACGTCGAAGCCGAAGAATTGTGCGCCAGGCAGCTGCCTGGACATTTGATTACAGGGAACATGCTCGTTGACCATCTCGCTGGGGTCGCGGTTAAGTTGTTCGGCGCTCTTCCTGCAAAGCGGGCCCACGTTCTCCAGGTCGAGGTTGATGCTCCTTTGATTCGGGATCGGCACTCGTGGGCCACTTTCGAAGCGTGTCACCGATGGGGAACCAGTCAGGCGTCCTCGTGTTCATACTGCTGCTCCCCCCTGTTCCTTCGGTGGTCGTGTTTTTGCTTTAAAAACTATATATATATGTATGTAAGTTTGGCCCATTGTGTCGAATACTGCGGGCAAAAAGTGTTCCAGGTGTCATAGCTCTGCCTCAGAAACAGGCAAGGCGAAGCGGCTCGAATCTGAATACTTTAGTTCCGACAGTGACCGACCACCTGCTCAGAGTTCCTCACCGGCGGCATTTACACCTCGCTGGGGGCTGGGTCCACCCGACCAGCGAAATGCTTTATCACCGGTCGTTGGCCCTCCAGTTCTGTAAGTCATGTGGCAGGTTCTTTTCCAGTAACTTGCAGGGGTTGTCTGATCCATGCTGATTCCCCAATACTCCACTGACTCGCACTCGGCGGGGATGTATCAGCCGAATATCCAGGAACCTTTGGCCCAAATTTCTCAGCAAGGCTGGGCAGGGGGCTCGGGGTATAATTCATAACGTCGCTTCGCGATTGTCCTCATCTCATATCATATCATATCATCTCACCTCCTCCTCCTCCTCTTCCTCCTCCTCCTCCTCCTCTTCCCACCTCCTCCTCCTCCTCCTCTTCATCCTCCTCCTTCCTCCACCTTCTCCTCCTCTCCCGCTTCCCCTCCCCCTCTCCCTCTCCCACTCCTCCCTTCACTTCCCCTACTCCCTCCCCCGTTTCCTGTCTTCAGCTTCTCTCCACCCCAGTCCCTTTCCTCCAAGAGAGCCGGATGTGGGCGCAGTCACTTTGCTTTGCGCCGCACCCTGCCGGAGACGGTTCCTTCGAGTCGGGGTGGGGAGTCTCGCACCCGTGTGGGGGTCTCTTGGGGCGGGCTCCCGCATGTGAAAGGTGCCACACCCTGATGACCAGAACACGAATGCGGGAGCAGGCAGCACGGATCTGGGAGGGTTGGTATCGGGGGCGACGCTAGGGGAGGGGAAGCTCCAGGGGGGGGATGCATCGACCCCCTATCGCCCACTGATGGCCGACGGGGTCCCGACTGCCCACCCCGCCCAGGACCGTGCGAGTGCGCCATCGGAGGCCTACTGCCGATCTATCGACGCTCAGCCACGCGCAGAGGGGGGGGGGGGAAGGGGGGAAGGCTTCTTAGAAGCACCCCTGCTTCTTAGAAGCCCCGGCCTTATCTATAGATGTCAGGCCGGCGCCTTCTAAGAAGCAGCCTCCTTCTAAGAAGCCCTCCCCCCTCCCTTCACCCCCCTGTGCGCACCGCCAAGGCGTAACTCGCCGATCCCCAAACATGGATTGAGGCGCGTGAATTTGCAGCGGGCCCCAGTTCCGTACAGAATCGGCGCGTTCCGTCGCCAAATCGGGCGGCATTGACACCGTCTTTCGGAGAGTATTTTCCAAGATCCGTGGATTTGGCGCCGACGCGCGAGATCCACTGATCCGTAATCCATGCTAGCGTGTGCCCGAAGAGGAGAAGGAAGAGGGCAGCCAATCTCCAGGAATTTGGCATCTGCTAGGTACGCGCATCATAAGCGACCGCACGCTGGCCAGAGTGAGAGAACACAGATGAGCGTTCGAAAAGTCTCGACGTTTTCGGAGGGTACCATCTCCTGTATGACCAGGCCCTGTGGACGTTCCCGAACTCTGAGAACCAAGCGGCTCGCGAAACGGGAGGCGCCGCAGTGCCCTTGCAGAGCTCCACTCGCAGGCAGGATGAGAGGTGGCGATGAATCGCTGTGCAGGCCGTGTGGCATGAGTGTGTGACTCCCGGCTCTTGCCTTGGCACTGCTCTGCAGAGTGCCGCGTGCATCGCTGGCACGCCCCAACCTCGCCATTTGGGATCCGCACAGCACCGAGAAAGCGGAATGCGTTTGGAAAGAGCGTTTGCACGAGACTCGGCTGGTAATTTGAATCATTCGCTGTCGTGGATCGCCCGATTCGCTCTGGCAACTGGGTGTCGAACGTTCCGTCTGCGCGCGCAAGTACCACTGCGAACGAGCGTTCTTGCTTTGTTGCTGGTTTGCTTGATTCCGCGTTGGCATGTGCGTACCCGTCGATTGTTGAAAGTAAGTGTTCTTGAACTTCCAGATTCCAATCTACTTTAGGTGCCTTCCTATAACCATGGAGTGGTTTTTCCCTTGTCCCTCCTCTTCACGGGGCGGGCGGAATCCCTGTATACTTTCAACGCCTTCCTACTTCATCTTTCTATCCACTCTTCCGACCGATGGGTAAGGATTGTACGACAGCGTGCAGTAAACATGTGAGTTCTTTGAGCTGCGGTTGTGCATGCCGGCACTCTTGGAGAGGGGAGGACACGCTGCTGAATCGGTGTTTCCGCGATTGTGTACTGGTTCACAGAAATGCGGAGTTCAGGACCTTGCGTTTCGAGACGGGAGGTTCGGGATAGCAGGGAGGGACGCTCGCAAGAGAGGGAAGCACAGGTCCAGTCATGAAGGAGCAGCAGAGGTTGAGTATACCCATCTTGTTTGGCATTTCAAATCAGAGATGGGACCAGAGATTAGGTAATTCGCGTCGATCCTGAGTCGTTGCCTTCGTCGTTCCGTTCCGTTCCAGTCGGTTGCCGTCCGCGATGTGTGCGTCCTCCTTTTGCCTCCTGTTCCTGCTCGTCCTCTGCCTGACCGTCCGTCACCTCCAGTTTCTTTTTTGCCTCCTCGGCCAGTCGGTCAGACCGTGTGTGTGTGTGTGTGTGACCGTAGCCACCTTTTCCAAGGAAACAAGTGCAGGAAGAGAGGAGGGACATTAGGGGTCTCCCGCAGCCAGAGGCGCCTCTCCAACCAAATGGGCCAAGCAATCCACTTTACCTCCTGCTCCTTCCCCTCCTCTTCCCCTGTCTGGCGGCACGCCGAGGGGGGAAGTGAAGTGAGAGGGGGCAACCCGTCACTGAAGACGGCGGGGCTTCTCAGAAGCCCTCCGTTCTTCTGGGAAGCCCTCTGTGACCCCATGTGATTACGGAGAAGCCTTTGGAAAGTTCGTCAGAAGTGAGCTTTCTTGAGAAGGCCCGCCCCCTCTGCCTTCCCCCTACAGCCGAACCTCGGGCGGACCCTCCGCTCCCTGTGCAGGCTGACGCAGGCACTGGACGGAGTCTGGGCGAGACGCCGGCGATGGAGGGGGCAGGGCTGCACATCTCCGGGTGCCCAGCTGTGCAGACGGACGAACCCAGGAGAGCGGCCACACGGGCACTGAACATCCTCGGCGGGCCTGCAAAGCCACGGGGCCCCGGCTGCGAAAGCGGCCACCCAGACACCGAGCATCGCAGGGTGCCAGCAGCTTCCGGGGAGTCCGGTTGAGGAAGGCGGCAGCTCCAGGGGAGCGGCCACGTGGACACGGCCGCGTTCGGCGGGCCTGCACACCCACGGGGCCCCAGCCGTGAAGCGGGCAGGTCGTGAGGCGGACACGCAGACGTCATGCTGCTCCTCCCTTTCTTCCTCCTCACTCATCTCCGCAATGCGTCGTGGCCTTGCACGCACCTTCCGCCCTGTCTCTGCGCGAAGGTGGCTGGGGGGCGGCCCGCAGGCCCGGGTCAGGGCTGCGGCACGCACTGGTCTGCATGCGCAGACATCGGGAGGGGCGCATTTTCGAGCGCGGGCGGAGTCTCGGGACCGGCCACGAAGACATTGATCCCCCAGCCTTTCTGTACACTGCTGGGATGGCACCACAGATGAGTTGGTGATGCTTCGCGTATTCCCACCACTGCATCCAAAAACAACGACTGGGCGACTTTACTGGATCAGGGAAGCGTAGCAGCAAGCAGTTTAACAAAAGAAAGAAGTGATTCCTCGAGCCACCTACGCCGAGAGGGCTGGCGGGATTCTCGTGCACTTCAGGGCAGCCAGATTCGACGGCGACCGGCCGAATGGCAGTCGTTCCGCGCGTATTTTCTTCAATTGCCTTCTTTCCTGCCTCCCTCCTCCTCCCGTCAATCCCCCATCTTATCGCTTGCGCTGTGTTATTAAGGAGATGTTATTACATGTGGAGCAACCGTTGCTTGTGGCAGCCAGTTTGGGCAACAACGTTGCGCACTCCCCCCTCAGAGTTGTCCAGCTCGGTTTCACGAGTTCAGTGGCAGCGCGATTGGATTCACATTTCCGGTTGATTCGTAAAAGGCAGTTCCAGTGGTTGGGTTTCTTGTCAAGTCTTCTGCGTAGGCCGATGGGGCTTGTTGGTGGCGCGATCGTTCCGAGAGGGCGTCCTGGTATTTCACGTCCCACCACGGGCCGCTTCCAATCATCATCATCATCATCATCATCATCATCATCATCATCATCATCATCATCATCATCATCATCATCATCATCATCATCATCATCATCATCATCATCATCATGATCATGATCATGATCATGATCATGATCATCATTATCACCATCACCATCACCATCACCATCACCATCACCATCACCATCATCCCCATCACCATCAGCATCACCATCACTATCATCACCATCATCATCATCATCAGCAGCATCGTTATCATCGTCATCGTCATCATCATCACCACCAGCATCACCATTGTCGTGATCAACATCGTCATCACCTTATTCATCCTTCCCCCCGCGAGGAAAGGGGACCTCGTAGTGTTGAAGGACCCGGGCACCAATTGCCACATAGTCAAGCGGTTGGTTGCCCAGGAGACTTTCTGCCAGCAAAGTTCTTCCTGCACTTTCTCGCGCTCCAGTTTCCCACGATTGCATTTCCGCCTGTTACCATTAATTCCACGTTTGTGTATGCACCATTGTCCTGTTGGTCTCCTCATTCCTTGATGTAGTCCCATCCGTGCTCACATTTGAGATCCGTACACAGACACCCTAGTTCGCATTCTCCTTCGTTGTTGCCTGACCACTTGGAGCTTCATGGCTCACACGTCCCACACGCACTCGCACGGATGATCACGGCAGGCGTGCGCATGCTTCAGTCAGAGCCAGGTTTGGGTCCCTGTGATGATTGTATGGCCGGTCCGCCGACTTTGAGAAGGGATCAGACAGGACGGAAGAGATGGGGCGGGGGAAGGATCAAAGGGACGAGGTTTCCCTTGGACTCTGTTCGACATTGCCCGATGTCCTTGGGGTGGTCGCGCCTTTGTTTGGTCCCTATTGATTAGAATGATATCGGCAACGCGGCACTTCCCAAAGGCCTTTTGTCGGGGGCGTCCAAGAGTTGGCTGAGGACTAGGGTGTTGGATACCATGGCTGGGGCCATGACATCTCCTACAACCCTCCTGAAGAAAACTGACGGGTCGAATCAGCAGCCTCCCCCTCCGCCTTCCGAAGCTTGCTCTTGAAAGAACCGTTGCCGCACCGGGGGGTTCGATGCAACATTTGGCGGGGGAGGGGGGGCGCGCCGTTGCGAGGAGATGACGCCATGCCTAGGCAGTCACATGAAGACTCTGATGCGACCCCGAAGCGTTCCCTGAAACCAATGGCCACTTTCGTCAAGTTTTTCTCCAGGAGTGTGGCAGATGCATTGCCCCCTCTTCTTCTTCTTCTTCTTCTTTTTCTTCTTCTTCTTCTTCTTCTTCTTCTTCTTTTTCTTTTTCTTTTTCAATCACGTGGCGCGCCTCTTCGGCGAATCCGATTTGAGATCCTTTTGCGGGTCTTTAGGGGGGCCTTTTGGTACGTTCTTCGGGCCTCTTGGGAGGCTTTTGAAGGGCTAATGGAGGCTGAGTGGCTCTAGCACGGAGGGGCTCTCGGGGACCTTTTTGGGATGCCTCTTGGAGGCTTCCGGGAAGTCTTGGGACCATCTTGGAGGGCAGGATCGCAGCGATCTCGCGGTCGCGCGCATTTGCTTGCCCCCTTGGGGCTGGTCTGCAGACTTCTGGGGCGGCTCTTGTCTAGGCCTCGTAGATGGCGTCCGAGTAGATGGGGCCGGGGGATCGCGCTGCATTTCCGATGCATCGGCGATGCGGCTCGATGTGGAGCTCGATTTCTCCATGCCGACGTCCCCGATGCACAGCCGACGTCGCCGATACATCGCCGATGCATCGGCGATGCATCGCCGATGTATCGGCGATGCGGCGCTATCCTCCGACCCAATCTACTCCGACCCCATCTAGGAGGCCTCTCTCAGGGGTTCCTCGGGCCGGTATTGTCCGACTCTCGCAGTCTTGGACGCTTGTGAGATAGAAATGAGAAATCATGTGAAAACGAACGGTTCACGATTCTGGGAGCCCTAACAGCCCAGTGGAGGGCGCAAGAGACCCTCAAGAGGGCTTCAGCAAGGGCCACCGGCGGCTACCTGCGGCCCCCGCATGCCTCCAGAGGGCCAGACACAGCCCCCACAAAGCAAGTCAAACGCCCAGAAACCTTGATCCACCCCAGAGCACAGCTCCTCCCCCCGTGACAGCAGCGACGCGGCGGCGGGGGGAGGGGGAGGGCGGAGGTGAAGCGCACGGTGCGGCCCGCGGCTTCGCCAACGGGCTGGTCAGCAAGGCCACCACCTCGCGCGCGAGAGTGCACGGGGGCGCGGCGACCCCCACGCACACAGGCGAGCACTAGCGGGCACGCTTTGCGCACGCGCCCCTCGCACTTACCCTGCCCACACGCGCCCCCCCCGCGTACACCCTACCCCTTCCCAGGCCGACCACCTCCCCAGGGGGACACGGGGTAGTGCTTGATGTAGGGTGCCCCCTCCTCCCCCCCCCCCCCCCCCCCCTTATCCCCCGCGCCCAGCCCTCCCCATGGCACTTCGCCATCGCCGACGCATCGGCCCAAGCGACACCGCGCGAACGACGCGACACTTCTCGAACGACACCCTTTCTTTTTTCTGAAGAGAGGACAACCCGCCCCCGCGCCCACCAGGGACCCCCCCGTTCCCGACCGCGTGGTTCATGGGATTTGGGGCCCCAACCCCCACAAGGCTCCCCTCCACCCCCAGCCCGACCCCCCTTGGGACGGGAAGGGGGTCCTCGGTGGGCGTGGAGGCGGGTTGTCCTTTCATTTCCCGCGACGCCTGCCATGGCGTCTGCTCCTTCCGCCTCCGCGGCCGCCGTTCCCGCGACTCCTCACCTGGCAGCCGCGCCCGCTGGGTCGCTCGCGCGCAGCCCCAGCGCCCAAAGCCTCGGCCAAAAAGATGGCCTCCGACGACAGGAAGGCGCGCCCACCCGCCAGACCTACGCGTTCCCTGCGCGCGCCCGCCACACCATTCACTGACGCTCCCAGCGGCGCTGGCTGCCACCGCCGCCGCCCCCCCCCCTCCCCCCGCCGCCACCGCGCCTAAGGGGGAGGGGGGGTCGGCGGGCGCGCCCGGGGAACTCGCAGTTCTGAGGGGTGCTGCGCTCTTAGGCGAAGAGCGAGAAGCTCCACGCGGAGGCGGGGGCGCCCCCCTACATCTCCGAGGCGCCTCTGCCACTCAGCTGCTGGACCGCAGGGTTGGGGGGTGCCGCGCGCCGCCGCCGCGCCGCCGCCCCCCCCCACCCCCCCCCCCCCCCCCCCCCCCCCCCCCCCCCCCCCCCCCCCCCCCCCCCCCCCCCCCCCCCCCTCCCCCCCTGGACCCCCCCCCAGGGCTCGGCCTGGGCAGATTTACGAGGCGAACCCAGCCGCGGCAGCGGGGGGGGGCAGGAATCGCAGGGATGCCAGGCAGGCGGAGGGGCAGCGGCGCCAGTGCGCGACATTGCCCGCAGGATCTGCGCGCGCCAGTTCCCCGAGACCAAGAGGGCGGAGCCGCGGTGCCAGAGCTACGGCGCCTCGATGGCGCACCTGGAGAGCCCTACCCACAAGTGGGCGGGGGGCGCCGTCGCGTGGCCACCGCGCGCGGAGCGGTCTGCGGGCACCTCGAGGGTGGGCGGGTGGGTGGCGATGGCCATGCGCAGGCGAGGCTGCGCGCATGGCCACCGCCCCCTCCCCCCCCCCCCCCCCTTCGGAGAGCTTCGCGGATCGCGCCGCGGGCGGCGACCGTGCGACTGCGCTCGCTGCGCCACAGGCTGCTGCGGGGCACCCTCGCTGACACCTGCTTCCTGAAGAAACAGGCGCTGAAGGGCGGGCCCGCGGCGGACAGCCTGCGCGCGGAGGCCGAGCGCGCCGAGGCGGGGGCGCGCGAACCCGCGGCGATGTCAAGTGCCACGCTTCGCCCGAGGGGGCCCAGCCGCAGTTAAAAATAGGCAGTGTCTTTTCGTGCAAGAAATGGAAAAGTATGAAGCATGTTCAAAAATAGTCAAATAATAGTCCTGGGATTATTTTTCGACCATTTTTGAAATGTTTTAAACGCGTTTGGTTATTGATCATTTTTCATCCAAAATCGGCCTGTCGGGGGAGAGGCCCGACTAGACACCGGCCTCGAACCCCAGTCCTCGATCGCGACATCCGCAGCCGGGGCGCGCAGACGCGCGCGGCGACCAGCGCCGGGGGCCCCCGGGGGGCATCTCAGGGCACGCCGCGCTGGAGACAATACGTTCAGGAGGGAAAGAAACACACAGACACAATTCATCGTCGACCCCCGAGAAAATAAAATGGAAAATATGGGAAATGGGGGGGGGGGGGGGGCAGACAACAACCCATAATATCTATATATATATATATATATATATATATGTATATATATATATACACATGAAAATATGGGGAATTATGTTATTTGTGCGCATTCATTTGCGTGTCTCTGGGCCCCTTTCAATGAATGAAGTGCGGGGGAGGGGGGGCTTCTGCCCAGGGAGTGGCCCCCCCGCTCCGCCCCCCCCCAGGGCCCCCCCTCCCTTCCGGTGGCGAAGGGGTCAAATGGAATCGGTTTCCTTTTGACTCGCTTACGGCGTTGCTCGAGTTCCCGTAGTCTGGCGCGCCTGAGAGGGGGGGCCCAAGGTGGCCACAGGGAAAGGGGGGATAGCTTGAAATTGCGAGAGTTGGGAGACCGCCGCCCCCTCACACACGACGACAGGGCCGGCGGAGCCCACGCTGATGCGTAACCCGTGACTCCACGCACGCCCCTCGAGTTTCGCACAACGGTCACCGATGGCCAGCCAAATGTCATGCGCGCCGCGGGCTGGGCCTCGCGCTTTCGGGAAGGCGGGCAGGGGGCGGGAAGCAAGGGCCGGGGGATGAGAGGAGTGCACGGGGAAGCTATTTAGCGGGGTAGGTAAAGGTGCACGGAGAAGAGAGGGGAGGGGCAGCGCGACGTGCGGCACAGCGATGTTTACGTCTCTGCCCACCTGCTGCTCTGCCTGCCCTGCCTGCTTCGGCCAGTCGCGGGGGGCTGCCTCGCGTCGCCGCGCCTCGGTTTGAAGAGCCGCCTGGGACGGCGTCCGAGAGGGGGCGGTTGTTCTGGCATCGCTCGGATGTGAGCAATTTTTTCCGGCAAGGACCATCGAGGAGCATGTGAGGCCATCTTGCGAGAAATACATTCGCGAAACCGAAAAATGCACCGGGAATGGACGTCCGAGCGATGGCGAGTTGTCGGCAGAGCCCAGCCAGATGCGCAAAAGGCCTGCCCTCTGGCTTCAGGCACTCGCGCACGAGCGTGCGCATGCGGGGCTCGCACCTGCCGGGCGAGGGCCCAGGTTTCCTCGGAAGGCCCGCTCCTGGCGGCATCAAGCCCATTGCCCTCTGTCGCTGTGGAGGACGATCAATGGAGAGGAAGCATGTTGCCAGATAATTTCCAGATGTCCAAAGCATGTTTTAAACATGTATGAAAAATGTTTAAAACATGTTTACAACATATTCCGACATTTTAAACACATTTTAAATTCAAGGATGGGACTGTTAGGGTGTCCGTTGTCGTGGCATCCACAATTCTGTCGGCGGCGAGCGAGGGGGAGAAGTGACAAGGAGAGGGCCTTCTGAGAAGTCTCGCCGCCTTCTGAGAAGGCCTTTTCCTCCTCAGTTCCCCCCCCTCGCTCGCCGCCGACTCGGTCGGCTGTCCCCGCACGCGGTCGGCCACGGATGGCTCCGACCTCGGGATGCGCTCCGCGACGCGGGTTCTGGGCCCGTGGGTGTTCGCCGAGCACGTTCCACTACTCGCAAAGTGCCTACTCGCAAACGTCAAAAGAATCACACCTTCCCTTCGATGTAATTTATCGTAAATCCTTAGCGGCTGATCCGGGCCATTTGCGAGTAGTGACTTTGCGAGTAGCGGAACGCGCTTGCCTAGGTGTGGGAGGGGGAGGGCGGGCCAGCGTGGCCACGCCGGCGCTCGAGGCTGCAGGTGCCGGCGCCCAGATGGGGTCATACAGCGTGAAGCAAACCAATTGTTTCACTCGTGTGTATTCTGGGCGCCAACATGGGGTCATACAGTGTGAAGAAACACGCGGGTGATATGTGTCACCCCGAAAACCGTGTGAGGAAAAAATGCTTCGTTTTTTTGGATGCCGGCATCATCATCGTTAGCATCAACAATTTCGTCGACATCGCCATCCCCATCTTCATCTCCATCATCATCGTCACCATCATGATCACCATCACCATGATCATGATCACCATCGTCTTCATCATTCCTCTCATCCTCGACCTCCTCCTCCTCCTCCTCCTCCTCCTCCTCCTCTCTCCTCCTCCTCCTCCTCCTCCTCCTCCTCCTCCTCTCTCCTCCTCCTCCCTCCTCCTCCTCCTCCTCCTCCCTCCCCCTCCTCCTCCTCCTCCTCCTCCTCCTCCTCCTCCCCCTCCCCCTCCTCCTCCTCCTCGGGCCACCAAGCTCCGAACCGCGCGGCCGAAGGAACGAGAGATGCTCAAGCAAGGAACTGGACCTGAATGCCCCCGCCCTGGCACGCGGATAAAGCCGAAATTCCAACGCACGCCCCGCAAGGAACGGGGGGGGCCGAGAGATGAGCTGGACCTTAACGCGACCACCGTTGCACTATGTCGAGCCAGTGAGCTCCGAACTGCGCGGCCTAAGGAAAGGGAGGTGCTCCAGCGAGGAATTGGACCTTAATGCCCCCACCGTGGCACGCAGATAAGGGCGAAAGCTCCAACGCGCGCCCCACAAGGAACGAGAGGGCCCGGGAGAGGCGCCGGGCTTGTGCGCGCCCGCCGTCGCAGTACGTCGAGCAAGCGCAAGGAACCGAACCACTATTGGAGCCCCATTCCTCAGACCAGCCGCCCTCATCGACTAAACGAACCCGCGCGTCCAAAATCTGAAGGAACACGGGGGCTCGCCGCCAAAAGGGTAGCGGAACGCATGCAAACCAAAAGAACGGCCGAGTCTTTTTTGGAAAAGCAAGAGTTCTATATTCAAGCTGGACCCTGTAGGCTACAATGTTGCAACCAGCGCTTGCGATAAGGGTGGACAGCCGCAGCGGGCATTATTGTTACTCGGCGAGACAGTGGTCAGCTATGGGGCGCTGGGATCATTGCATGCAAGAGCGGTGGGCAGTTGCAGCAGGCATTGTCGTTGCTTGGCGAGTGGATGGAGTTGCGGGAAGCAAGGGTGGAGCAGGATATAATCAGCTACAGCTTTGGCATCAGAGCGTGCGCGACGGGCGGACAGAGGCTGCAGGCGTTGTCTCTGCTGAGCAAGCTGCGGGAAGCTGCGGTGGAGCCGGACCTGCTCTGTTACAGTGCCGGAACCAGCGCGTGCGAGAGGTGTAGAGAGCGGCGGCAGGCGATATTTTTGATCAGCGAGATGTCGGACGCGAAGTTGGAGAGTGACCTGGTGAGTTGCACGTTGGGCTCGAGTGCGTGCGAGATTGGCAGGAAGTGGCAGCGGGTTCTGTGGCTTGTCAGCGATTTGTGGAGATCAAAGTTGGAGAGGGACGCGATGAGCTACATCGCTAGAATCATCACTTGCGAACAGAACGGGCAGTGGCAGCACGGGCTGTCCTTGCTGAGCGAGCTGTGGGGGGCGGACTGGAGTCGAGGGTGACCGTGAGTGGACCGCAGATGGCTGCCTCGAGCCCGCTGACGCCACCGCCCCCGCCCCGCTCTCGTCCTCGCGGCGGCGCGCGCGCCGAGGGGGGAAGCGCGAGGAGGCAGGCCTTCTCCTCGGCAGGCGGCGGGGCGTCTCAGAAGCCTTCCCAGCCTTCTGAGAAGCCCTCTGCGGCTGCGGAGAAAGTCCCCGCCCTCTCTGCTCGCCCCTCCTTTCGCCCCTCCCTCCCACCCACCCCTCCCTCCCGTCCCTCCCTCCGTCCCTCCGTCCCCCCCCTCCGTCCGTCCCTCCCTCCGTCCTCCGCCCTGCGCGCCGCCGACTCCCTCCGTCCCTGCCCCCCTCCTCCGCCCTCTCCCTGGAGATCGAGCGAGCCGGGGGCGGAGAGCGCCCGGGACGGAGCGCCTGGCTTTGCGCGCCCGGGCGTCCGCACGAGCGGGGGGTCGCGCGGCGCCCTGCTCCGTGCCGCACCTCCCGCCCACCGTCCCCCCTCCCCTCCCTCGTCCCACCTCCCCCTCCTTCCCTTCTCCGCTCTCTCCTGCCTCCCTCACTCTCTCTCTCGCCATCCCTCTCTCCACTCCCTCCCTCCCTCTTTCCTCCCATCATTCCTCCCCTCCCCCCGCCGTCTTTCTTCGCTCCCCGTTCCCTCCCATCATCCCGCCTCCCCATCCCTTCCCTCCTCACTGGCCACTCCCAGCTGCGAGGGCAACTCGTGCCACTGACCCCCGCGCTTCGCCCCTCTCTGCTCGGACCTGCCTCTCTGGGGGCAGGCCTGTCCTGCATCCAGAAGACAGCATCATTCCGCATTCCCTCCCTCCCTCCTCCGCCTTCCTCCTCTCTGCGGCGCGCTGGGGGGGAAGCGAGAGGGGACAAGCCCTCTCAGAAGGGTGCGGGACTTCTCAGAAGCCACCAAGGGCCTTTCTACTACCCGACAGGGTGCTGGCAACCGTCCGACCGCAGAGCATCGTACTGATCGGAGGAACTCCCTCACCCAGCACCTCACCGCGTCCAGTCATCAGCGACAAGATTACCGTGAGCCGACTCTCTCCGCCAGCATTCAGGCATTCAGCCAGCGTGCCAACAAGAGATACAGCAATAGTCAGCACCGCTGATGGACAGGTTCCATCGTGTACATAATGCCTGGGTTCTCACTCAACGACGCGGGCTTTCCGCCCTGACGCGACCAGAGGGACGATCCTTCAGGGTTCCCTCCAGACCCTCTTCCGCTCCCAAAGGACGGCACACCAGTGCTAGCCCCCCCTTCCACGTGGACCGCGAGAACAATTGGCACCTGTTCCGTTGTCTGCCTCTTCTGGGCCGTTGCGGGGGACGCCCCACCGCAGCGCTTCTTTTCGCAGAGCGCCGAGGCGTGCATGTCTACCCACGCTTAAGACTGGCGCCTCGCTCCACACGGCAGCGCAGACGGGCCCCATAGCGGCTTGATCACCGCCGACCGCGGGGGACCCCGAGTAATCCGCGCCAGGGGGGGGAGTAACTGGGTTCATCCCACGACCCCTGTGTAGCATGCGACGCCCTCCGCATTGTGAGGCGGGTCCGCCTTGAGCACATGTGGCTCAGGGGCCCGGACAGAGACTCTGCCCGAAGTGGTGCGCCCTCCCCCTCCTCTCTCGAGCCTCTCTCGAGCCTCAACCTCTCCTCGCCCACCCACCCTCCCCCGCGCCCCGCTACCCGACGCCGGCAGGAGCACGAGTTCCTGGCGCAGCGAGACGGTGCCTCCCACCCTCTTCTGGCCTTGGCACCCTCGCGTCGTGAAAACATGTGTCCAAGCCGAAGACCCAGCCATATGCAGTTGCGAATGCCGTCGTTGTGAGTATCGCCTTCGGTGGAGCTCCTTATGGGGCCACGAGGCGTGTGAAGGGTCTGTCGGCATGGGGCGGGCGGCCATGCGGGCGCTGCCACTGGGGCAGATTGACCCCCCTTATGGGGCCACGAAGCGTGCGAGAGGTGTGCCGAAATGGGGCGGAGCCGCCGTGCGGGCGCGCTGGCACTGGGGCCTTCGTTAGAGCTCCCTATGAGACCACGAAGCGTGGCATGCGGGCTCTGGCACTGGGGCCTTGATGGAGGTCCCCATGGGGCAACGAAACGCGTGAGGGGTGTGCCGAAATGAATGGGTCGGCCGCGTGTGGACACCGCCAATGGGCCTTCCGTGGGGCTCCCTGTGGAACACGAAGCGTGTAAGGGGTGTGCCGGTATGGGTGGCGCCACTGGTGCCTTGGGTGGAGCTCCCTAGGGGGCCACGAGACGTGTGAGGGGTGTGCCGACATGGGTGGATCGGCCACATGTGGTACAGCCCTCTGGGGCTTCAGGTGGAGCGTCCTGGGGGGCCACGAAACGTTTGATGGGGTGTGCCAGAATTGGTGGGGCGACCGCATGCAGACACCGCCGCTTGGACCTTCGGTCTAGGGGGCCACGAAAAGTGAGGGGTGCGCGGAAATGGGTGGGGCGACCGCATGTGGACGCCGCCACTTGGGCCTTCGGTGGAGCTCCGTATGGGGCCACGAATCGATTGAGGGATGTGCAGGGATGGGTGTGGCGGTCGCATGCGGACACCGTCAATGGGGCCTTCGGTGGAGCTCCTTATCGGGCCACGAAACGTGTGAGGGGTGCGCCGGACTCCGTTGGGCGGCCGCATGTGGACACCGCCACTGAGGCCCTCGGTGGAGCTTCCGAGGGGGCCACGGAACGTGTGATGGGTGTGCCGAAATGGGTGGGGCGGCCGCATGTGATGATCGCCACCGAGGCTTTCGGTTGAACTCCCTATGGAGCCACGAAGCGCGCCAGGGGTGTGCCGAAATGGGTGGGGCGTCCGCATGTAGACACCGCCAGTTGGGCCTTCGAAGGAGCTCCCTATCCGGCCGAAGGCGGGCCACGCCGGCGGGCCCGTCTTTGCAACCTCCCCACCCTCCAACGAAGTCAGGTCCTTTTCACCCCCAAGGGAGGAGGAATGGGAGGAGGAGAAGGAGGAGGATGATGAGGACGATGATGATGAGAAGAGTAGGAGTGGAGTGGCGCGGGGCGCTGTCGTTTCAAAACGAGGATCCAACAGCCCAGGATGCTTGGGAATAACACGACGGAAGGTTTCTCGCCACCAGAAATTGTTCGTGCGATCCTGGCGTCAACAGGCTGGTGCGCATTTGTGATATATGCCTTCCTCTCTCAACACTGCTGCTGAGTCAAGTTGGGAGGCGTGCCTCGCAGGGGCGAGGCCGAGGGCTTGAAGGGCCCAGGCAAGAGGTGTCAAGCATCGTTTACATGTCTTGGGGCTTGTGGCCAAAATGTGCACAGGCAGTTTTCTGTTGAAGAGAAATAGAACACAGTTCAGGGGTAAAGGCTTGCTGACTTAGATTAGCCTGGCCCAGGGCCGAGCCATCTGCAGTTGCGAATACCGTCGCTGTGAGTATCGCCTTCGGTGGATCTCCTGATGGTGCCACGAAGCGCGTGAAGGTGTGCGGAAATGGAGCGGGCGGCCATGCGGGCGCTGCCACTGGGGCTTTACAAAAGAGCCCCCATATGGGGCCCCGAAGCGTGTGAGGGGTCTGCCGAAATGGGTCGGGGCCGCCATGCGGGCGCTGTCACAAGGGCCTGCCGACATGGGTGGGGCGGCTTCATATGGTACACCCTCCTGGAGCCTTCGGTGGAGCTCCCTATGGGGCAACGAAACGTGTGAGGGGTGTGCCGAAATGGGTGGGTCGGCCGCGTGTGGTGCCCCCCCGCCCCCCCTCTGGGGCCTTCGGTCGAGATCTTTATGGGGCCACGAGGCGTGCGAAGAGTGTGCCGCAAGTGGTGGGGCGGCCGCATGTAGTACAGCCCCCTGGGGCCTTCTCTGGGGCTCCCACTGGGGCCATGAGGCGTGTGAGGGGAGTGCCGAAATGAGTGGTGCTGCTGCATGTGGCACACCCCCTGGGGACTCAGGCGGAGATCCCCATGGGGCCACGAAACGTGTGAGGGTTATACCGAAATGGGTCGGGTGGCCGCATGTGGTACACCGCGCTGGGGCCTTCAGGGACCACGAAACGTGTGAGGGGTGACGGACTGGGTGGGGCGGCCGCAAGCGGTACACCAGCCCCCGATGGGGCCACGAAACGTGTGAGGGGGTGTGCCGGCATGGGCTTGGCCGCACGTGGTACATTTGCTGGGGCCTTCGGTGGAGCTCCTTAGGGGGGCACGACACGCGTGAGGGTCTGCCGACATTGGTGGGGCGGACGCAGATGGGACATCCCTTCTGGGGCCTTCAGTGGAGCGTCTCATGGGGACACGAAGAGTGTGAGGTGTGTGCCGCAAAAGGCAGGGCGACCGCATGTGGTACATAGGGTTGCTCCCCGTGTGGGCCAGGATTCGAAGTCGCATTCGCCATCGGGTCTGTGCCCAATGGGAGTCAACAGTGCATGCTGATGTTTTCTGAGGCATCAGCCCCTGCATGGCCTGCGATAAAAGCGCCTGGGTCTAAAACGCCCTCGAGGCTTTAGCCAGGACCAGGGGCTTGGCTTCAGGTACTCTCTTTCTGGACCTGAAGCGTTTGTACGAGAACATCTCTCATGCGGAGCTGCTGGCCGCTGCCAAGCTGTCCTCTGCTCAGCTCCCGCTCCTGAGGGCGCCCTGTTGTTTATACAGAGCCCCGCGGCGGGTCTCGTGGCAAGGAGCCACCGACCGCCTGATCATGCCTAACGGCACGACAGTTGCAGGCTGCTCGTGCGCGACCACGCTCGTGCGCTTGCTCCGGTTGGTTACGCTTCGCATTGCACGTCGTCTTTCCGAGCGGTGCGCCTCAAAAGTGTGATCGGTGATGCTTCGTTTCATGCCACCGGAGGGGAAGCAAGACTCTCGCGAGCTAGCCGCGAGCTTCAAGCTAGTTTGTGGCACTTCGCAGTTCATGGGTCTCCCGACTTCTTGGAACAGGGATGGGGTGCTTGCCTCGTCGCCCAAGCTTGCGAGGAAGCTGCCGTTGGAACGCGGGCTCCCCGAGGAATCCAGGGCCCAGGTCCACAACGACTTGGGAGGAGACGCCACCACTGGATCTAGGCGCAGAGTGACCACACACCATGCTAGCTTTGTAGCGGCTCACGCCCGATCCGCCCGCCCTGCCGCCTTGGGGGAAGTT